CGCGGTTGACTCCACAAACGTGCTCTCGCATTTAATGAGCTCAACAACAATCGATCAATACAAGCCAAAACCATAAAACTTGGTGGTAGAATAGCCGCAACGTATGTAAGATAGAACTGGATCTTGCAAAAGACCAGCGACGTTCGCGATGGATTGATGTTATAGCCTACGTAATCGTGATAATTATATAGAACATCAAATGTTTGCAAGCTTACCAAGGGAAATACCACTGAGAAGAATACTGTAGTTGATAAAGAACAATTGTGTACATGAAGCAGCAAGGAAGTATATGGCACAAGAATTAGTTCGAAAGATACGTTGAACAAAAATGATAATGTTTAGAATCTCGCCAATATTACCAAGAATAAGCAAAATTGATGTGCTTACTCGAACAAGAGTAATCTGAGCATTCTGAATGGCTTGAATGGTAGCCAACATTTCTACAGTGATTTCGGACATTGATTCGATTATACTCTTTCAACTATACTCTATGTGATGCTCACGATGTTATTCTCAAGTTGCACTCAACAAACTGAAATGTTTTTCTTTCATTTTTTGCATTATTATCAGAGTATATATATATATATATATTAGAGAAAGGATACCCACAATTATAATTTTATCTACATTCTTTTGTTCAATCCTTTCTGTACATGAAAAGAAAAGAAAATTATCCCGTCAGATTAATGAGGAACAAATGAGCTTGATTTAAAATGTGTTATTGTTCACTATAGGGCGTATGCAAATCATCAAAAGTGAAAAGATCAAAGTGGCATCAAAATTAGTGTTGACTCTTTCATCCCATATAAAGCCTTACTTATCTTTTAAAAGAATAATTTATTATTAGAAAGAAGCACTTAGTCAAGCAAAAAAAATCTCATAGGTCACATACCATGTATACTGCGTGTGTGTAGCAAACTATGCGCGGTGCCGAAGACTGTGTAAGAAAGCAAAAAAGCCGATAAAAAATAATAGTATTTTTGAAGAAAAAATATGTCACGGTTTGTGAACATGAAAACGGAAAAAATAATATTTAAAATACGTCTGTTTGTCATTTTCATGCTATCAAAAAAGTAGCATCTGTTTTTTTGGAAACGTTATGACTTAATCATTTGCCTATTTGAGTACACTCTCAATCTCATGAGTTGATGAGTCTTTTCAAAGTTAATAGAGTTTATTTAAAAAAAGAAAGAAAAATATTGTTATGTTTTTCTTTTCTATTACATAATATTAAATGCACATCGAGTTCATTTCAGGAAGAACACAATCTTCTATCTTCATTTTATTTTTAAGATCAACTAACTGTAACATCACACACACATATATATATATATATATATCAATCGAGAGAAGAAAGAAAAGAAAAACATACACGAAGAAGATGCCTGGATATATATATGTTGTACATAACACCCTATCCCATGGACAAAAGTTTTTCAACAAAATGAAAAAACTTTTTATATGAAGATAATGGTGTATTTCAGAAAGTGAACAATAATAAATGAAAATGAAGTAGAGGAAAGAGACAAGGTTATAACAAAAAAAAATCGACAATAGATGGAAATAAAAGACTGAGATAATAAGTATTGAAATAAAAAACCTCTTTTATTTGAATGTTGATGGTTTTGAAAAGAAGAACAATAAGTAAATAAACAATAACAAAAGTTCATGTCAGCTCTCCTCATAGAAAGGTTTACCTCATAATATAAATACTAATGATAATAATAATGTTGTCAATTAAATATAGTTAATGGCAATTGTCTATCAAATTGTTTTTGTAAATGAGAATTTTTGACACCAATAATTATATGATTGTGTCGATGTTTGACATGGACGAAATGAACACGATGTTGATGAAGTAGATGCTTGATCTTTTTCATTGTAAAACGATGATAAACGTTACGAATAATAGAATAAGTATATCGATATAATCTAAGAACTTTATTGTGTTTCTTATTCCTTTTCATACGAGCAGTTGTAGAACGTCGAGCGTGTTTTCTTGAAGTAAAGAGAAGTTGACGTAAATCTAAAGATGATGCTGAATGCGTTTGGTGTTCTGATTTATGAACAATTGGTAATAGATTAATGGAATATAAAGTATCTTCATCTGATATATATGCCAAATCTACATATGGTGATGATGGATCAGTTAATAGTGAAAAATGAAGTAAATTTATTTTAAATGTATGAGATGATGGAATAGGTGACTGCACTGATCGGTCAGGAAATATACTTGTTCCATTTCATAGATTATTCATAGTAGTTAGATTATGATAATTAAATACCTATGATGAAAAAATAATCAGAAAAGTAAATTCTATTTTATGTATGCCAGAATATGTTTTACAAAGAACAAGAATCAAAAATGCAATTATCCTAGACTTTTTTTTGTTTAAGTTTACGTTTGCTTTTTCGACATCTTAAAAATTAATGAAAAAAACTATTAGAAATATTTAACCTCAAAGTCATGTATATAACAATACTTCTAAAATGATATATTTTCTATTCATTTTTATCAGATAAAATATTTCATAAACGAATACGAAAATTTGTAAGTGAAACAAAATGAAAATGATCAATAATGTTTATTTCATGTGATAGTTCATTACATAATCATAAACAGGATAATCTTGATTTGATTTTAAATTTAGGTTCTGAAACAAGCAATATTTTTTCGATGATAAACACGCCTTATAAGGGAACGTTGCTAATTGTCAAGGTGCCTTTTAAAATGAAAATGTCGTGATCCCTCTCATAGACATCGCGAAGACTGAATGTTGAATTTTGACTTCACTCTTCGCATAGAGATAGACGTTCATGACAATATCTTATTATGAAAGTTTCAGGTCTTTTGATTGCGTCCATATTAAAATACGAACATCAAACTTTACCATTGTGAATGAACGGCCTGAAAAACACGTTTGAATCAAATCAAAATTCAATACTCAGTTTTTCTGGTGTTTCTAAGATAGATCACAGGAATCATTTAAATAATACTATACAAATGTAATCTCTCCTAAGTAATAAGTTCATTAGCACTTACATGATGTACATAGTCTTGGCTCAAAAGCGATTTGATGATTAGAAACATTCTCTCGCTAAATATTTTTCATTTGATTTTGAGAAGAAGAAATTAAATTCAACTGAAGAAAAGCTAGAAAACATTGAATGTACATCGCATATTTCCTTACATATTGATCCTGGTTTGACTCAATAGATTCAATCTATGAGTTAGCTTTAGTCCTAAATAATTGAATTTTCATTACAGTAAAATAATGTCTTTTGAATATAACAAGACAATCAATTTAATCAAATTATTATTAACTGTATACAACAGAAAGGCTTGGTTAAACATTACACGTTTATCATACAGTTGTACATAAATTAAAGCCTTTCGTTTATTATAAAATTGCTTTCTTGACTTTGGGTACTATCAAACATTAATTGTCTAAATGTTTTTTTTTTGACAGAATTACAAAATTAGTTCATTGCTGTTGCCAATAATCAATACCTCGATTCATTTCTTCAGTGTGTTGAACGATTATATGTTGAATGCTCGTATATTATTAATGCAAAGATGGATGAGAAAATCATGGAATCAGTACTTTTGTTTCTTATTGATAAACATTTTTTTTCTGCAGTTATGATGTTTATGTTTTATGAATTGTAAAAACACTTCGTCAGCATAACACAACATTAACTAATAGATTCATTTTATTGAAAAAAAACACGAAATCAACACTTTCAATGCGGGTATTGAGATGATTACAATTTCTGATCTACTATATATCATTGATTTCTAGAAGAAAATCATGCCGCTTTATGAATAAAAAAAATATTTAATAGTCTTTAGATTTCGATATAAATCGATTGTTCCAATAAAATGAATAGGTGTAGTAAAGAAACTTCTCTTGTTAATTAACATATGTGTCGATAATTCAGTACAAGACATCGTCAACATCAATGTATAGATGATACATCATCATACTGGTTTCGATTCTTAATCAACTACTTATATAATTATATTTGCTCCTTAATGAGTAAGAAATATCGTCAATGTAATAGCTACATAAATCCTTGTCCTACATTGAACATAACTAAGTTTCTATAAACTGTTCAATCCTTGTTGCCTGTTGTCTGTCTGTATCAACGGTAAAAAAAGAAAAACTCAAAAACTTGTAAATTTCATTTAAAACCCATTGAACAAAAAATTTAATACACAAATTCTGAATCCATTCTCGAAATTCACTCTAGCTATGTAGAAACGAATGGTATATAAGTTTTATTTGAGGATATGAAGCTCATATCCATATCTCCACATCCATTTGCTGCTATTAATCCTCTTCGTCATGCATGTACATGCGTACATACTTTGTTGATTGCGAGAGCTTGTCTGCTTTTTTCTGTTTCACCGGTTTTCTTCTTGTTCCTATATTTGCATTTGATCTCTGTCATATGTATGTGTGTGCAATAGTCGCTCTTGTTTTTTCTCAATAAAAAGAAAAAACGTTCTGTTCTGTCCGTGTTGTCCCAGCATTATCATTATTTATTTTGTGATTGGTGCTGCTTGTTCGTTCGTTCTCTCCTTCCTACTCTTGTAGTATGTTGTTTGACGTTAGTGCCTTGCTTTTGATCGCTTTGTATATCTTGTGTCTTTTTCACTTTTGGACATAGATGAGTCAAAAACCAATATTGGGCGAATGCGAGAAAGGCAAACAGTTCTGACAAAACTCTAAATGCACTTTAAAAAATGCCGATGTAGGTCATTCTGTATTTGCATTACCTATCCATGTCACCTACAAGGATTTAAAGTACGAGATTTTCATTTGAAATTTGAAACGCAAGTTTATTCATTCTTCAACAATAGAATGGATATGTTTATCTTTGAAGAAAAACACGGAACCAGAGGAGAAAGTGCATTTGCGGGCGACGAAACAACTTTAGTATAAATAGGCTATCATATCGTCACATTGAGAACTTAGATTACCACACAAGCAAGCATGTTCGCATGTATTTTTCTGTCGTCTGTTGTTTTGATCGCTTATGGACTACCGGTAAGTATTCATATCATTTTCTTCAATGGTTGAATATTCTTTCTATTGTTGATCAGGTTGAAATTGCTAAGCCAACGAAGCAAGTGAATCCGGAATTACTCGGTAAATATTGGTAGTATATATTGTGAAATGAGGAGAAATTTGAATAACATCTTTTGAGATTAGGTGGTGGTTTTGAAGGCGATATGATCTTACCACCTGGTTTTGATCCTCTCCATCCAAATCGTGGCGTTAGCATTAATGGTCAAATTAGACGTTGGCCAAACAAAATTGTTCCATATGATATATCAGCCATTTCGGGTATATATTTTTTGAAAAATATGAAACTTGACATAAATAATTGTTTGAAACCAGATAGTCGAGATCGACAAACGATTGAGTTGGCTATGCAGAAGTTAATGTATGATACAGGAATAACAAAACCAGGTCAAACATCACGCACTTCTTGTGTCACCTTTCGACCAGCACAATCGACTGACAGGAAAGTTCTCAAAATTCAATACGGTACTGGATGCAGTGCATCGGTAAGTACTGTTATACGGATGTCTTCTCTGTTATATTGTATTTGAATCACTAACACCAGATGCACATATGTGCGAGTTATATAGCAGACAGCATAGAACAACTGAGGGTAATAGAGAAAGAATGCGGAGAGATGAGAGAGAGACAGAAAAGAATGTAATGGCATCTCATGACCAAGCGAAATAACTCTCCGTAACAATATAGACACATAATGAACTTAAGCTGCATTTAAACAATACGTTTAGGTCGGCTATAACACAAACTATCCAAATACAGTTAGATTACAACGTAACGGTTGTTTTCGCAACGGTATTATTCAACATGAGCTCGCTCATGTTCTCGGTGAGAGTCACTCTTTTTTCAAAAAATCTAATCATGTTCTTCCTTATCTTTAATTTTAGGCTTCTTCCATGAACAGTCACGCCCTGATCGTGATCAATATCTAACAGTGCACTACGAAAATATACAACAGGGCATGGTATATTCAATTTCTGTTTTGTTATTTGCATAGATCGTTGAATGAGTGAATCATTGTTCTAGGCGTTCAACTTTCAAAAATATTCATGGGGAACACAGGTGGAAAATCAAGGCTCCACCTATGATTACAACAGTTTGATGCATTACGGTCGTAATGATTTCACGAAGAATGGCAAACCAACTCTCACACCACGTACAGCTGGTGCTCAGATTGGTCAAAGAGAGAAACTCAGTCCCATAGATATTGCCGAGATTCGTCGTTATTATAACTGCTCCTAAATTTTCTACTCACTTCCTTTTTGTTGATTTTTTTGTAACATGAACATTTGCGTGTGGATGTATCTTGAAGAGTGATGAAATATTAAATATTGATCAATAAATTGTATTCTATCTTGATTGTAAAAATTGTCTTCAAATGACTGAAGGCAGATATGAACCTAAGTTGGATTGTTCATAGTCAAGGTTTGACTAGTAAAGGTCATCAGTTTCACTCATCCTGAATTTTGACAGCAAGGATGTGACTTTTTTGTTTTGCTTTTAGAATTAGAAAAGGCTATTACTCTCGTTGAAAAGCAAAAAATTCATCGATTATTTGCTTTGACGAGAGAACAACATGAAGATTGAAAATCAAAACCGATATTCTTCTCGCATCAATCAATCCAAGTGATTTCATTCCGCTTGAACACAATCTCGATCGAGAACAAATTCTCCATCGAGCCAGCGATGCCTTGATCAACGAGCAACTTTCAACCAAGGATAAACAATTGAAATCGAACGAATTCATTCAATGTCTGTCTTTACAGTACGAACAAGCTATGATGCGTCTGATCACCTATCAATGTGTTCACAAATTCATTCAGAATACATTCAATATTGACAATCAACAATGTGCTCTGACCATTCTTGCTCTCTATTTGCCACATTTACGGGAGGCAAACATTGGCTGGTCCTACTTGGACAGTATTGGGTATACGGATCTCTTTAACCACACTCCACATCCACCCATAGAACTTATTATTTAATAAATCTTTATTCTTTTTAATTAAATAAAATATGATTGAGTAATTAGGTTAATAATTATATGTATAATAAATATAAAGCATTATAAATAACTCTAAATATATTACTCATTAGAAAAGTTTTTATTATGTACCATATAATTATAATATCATTAGGTAATATTCATTAATAATAAAGAATATCTATTTTGATCGTATCGATTTTTTGCATTCATCACATTGAAATGAACTCGATCAACTTGAAGATATACAGAATTAAATTTATATGAATAATGAAGAAGTATACGTTTCAAAAAAAATTAATTTCATCATTTCAGTTTTCAAATTATGAAAGCATTTATATTACGAAATAGTTTTTAATTTAATTTCTTGTTAACGAAAACAGTTCATTTCCAACAAAAACCAATGTCTTATAAATTAGAATAGAATTAACAACATGTGGATTATCAAACTTTTAAAATATCATGTTAGTAATTGGTGACATCTACCACAATATATGTATAGATAAAACGAAAGTTAAAAAGACTACCTGTTTCGATTTAACGAATCACTTAGTTCTAATATACATCTGTAGTATAACTCCGAACAAAGAACGAGATCCAACTAATATCTCTTATTTATTACTTATTTCCATATTTATATTGAATGTTCCTCTACTTGAATTATTTTCTTTTAATAAAGACTTATAAATTCTTTTTCTTTATTTAGTTTTTATTTTCTTAAATTTTTATTAATTTAATTCTCTATATCTTCTTCGTTTTTAGATATCAAATAAACCAAGCATTTCTTATGAATATGAAGAGTTGGATCCTCTGGTGGCACTTTCTCTCCTTCCACCCCATCCACCATTCATGGTGTTAGTTCGTTCGACGAGTTCAAGTTTATTTTATTTCAATCTGTATATCTAAGTATCCTTAAATCTTTTACATATGTATAACATAAGAGATAGAGAAAAGAGAAGAAAAGAGAGACAACTATAATCATAATGGAAGAAGAAAGAGATAAAAGGACATACAAGGAGCAGGAATGAGGATGAATCAGCTCTAACATATGGTATGTTTATTCTTATAAGAAGTATCTTTATTTACTATTTTTCTTTATTATAGGATAAAGACGGATACTTGGTACTCAAACGGCTGGTTCTCAAGTCAGGAGTGCAGATGACCTCGCTCTCCATGAAAATGTTCTGGTTGACTGTTGCCGTGGTTTTAAGTGTTAAAATATTTGTATATCAATTTTCATTGTCGTTGTTTTAGAATGCATCATCACCATGGCCACCGACAATCGAGCAATCAGTGAAGACCAGATCACTGGAGACTAGCCTCAAGGAGATGCAGATCCGAGCCAAGCAGATGAAGGCCAAGGTGGATCGAGGGTTGGGGATGATAGTGAAGATCGAGGTCGGAGTGAAAGTTGATGTTAGTGAGCTCGCCATGGGAGCAAGATGGTGTTGGGGAAGAGTGATTACAGGTGTGACGTTTTCTGCGACTTTCAGTCCCTATTTTTTAGCTTTTTTTGTATTTTTTTTAATATTTTTTTGTATTTTTTTTTATTAAAATAAAGTTGGAAAATAAAACTGAGGGTTTTTAAATGCTGAAAAAGAAGGAAAATGAGTAAAAAGTTCAATCCAGTATCATCATCAGACATACATCACTACAGTTATTCATTCATTTTTTTCTTCTCTCTCTCTCTTTCATATGAGTACTTACTCTTTCGTATTCACTGATAAGAATGATGGAGAAAAAAAATTAATCATTAAATAAATATATTCGATTTCTGTTTTTATCTATTTGAAAGGATGCCGTATCATCAGTGGCTTCACCCATGGTAACATATCGTAATGCAAGACTTTTCAATTCTCCAAATACAAATAATAATAATAATAATAACAATATGGGTGTGGGTGTGAGTGAAGAGAAGACCCATCCCTACACCCACGCTCACACCTATTGTCAAAACTATCTCTAGCAGCACGTCTTGGAGTAGAAGTAGAGACAGGAGTGTTTTGTTGTTGGTCCGTTAAAGGACGTACTTTCGAATAGTGATGTTGATGATTCATGAGAGGACGAATGGAAGAACTAATTTCTTGTGGCGGATAAGGAGGAGAACAATCAGCTGAATGCTGCGGCATGTGTAATGGACGGTGCTGTTGCTGTTTGTGAATCAGGTATTGCGACTGTTGAATAAAGGCAAGATCAATATGATGAAGTTCTTTTTTCGAAAAACGTTTAATGAATGCTGCAAGATTTGGAGGAAGGCCGGGCTGGAGCATATCTTTGCAGTCAGTCGTAAATAAATGAAGAAAAATGCACTGGTAGAAGTGATGGTAAATAAATAGAAACACCGAGGTAGAGAAGAAAGACAAGAGGACTTCTTTTTATTGCAGAAGAACCATAGTGATGGTCTCTTTTCCACGCAAGGAATTCGTCATTGGTTTCATCAACGCTTTGCATATCCATCAATATCTTCCAGGAAATTTGCTGCAATACCTAGAAATATTTTTAATTCGTTTGCCCCATTAGTCATGAAGTAAACTCCAAGATAACTATAAGAGCTTCTCATTTATCACTCAATATACGTTATCGAGGCTATCAAAAGAATGATATGATCGTAAAGTATAAGTCAAGAACTAAGCTTAACAGTACGAAATAAATCAGAAAACAAGTTAGAAAAAAAATATTCAAAAAGAAAAAACAACGATCAAAGCCGACGTTCATGAGCAGCTAAATAACATGACCCATTGAATACAGAAAATGCGCATATATTGATATATAACCGCTGTGTTTATTCATCATTCACTATACGTGGACGATGGGCGATAATAACACATAGATGGCTCGATTAAATCGATAACGCCCATATTATCTTTACGTTGCTTTCAATATTGGCTTTTTCCCATGCATTTCTCTTCTCTCTGTATCGTATCAATTGGTTTCTGATCGATCATAACGACCACTCCATACTGTTCGTTCTCCCACCGCTGTTTTCACTACTAGACGAAATATTTGATCGAGAGATAAGAAGCAGCTTCACGTTTTTGGATATTGTATAAAATACAAAATCGTAAAGCTATTAGGTAGATATAAAGACGATTGAATCGACACAATCTTCATAACAAACAACAGCGATGCATATTTGGCCTTCAACTCTTGCTCTTCTCCTACTCTCAGGCAGTTTAGTTTCGAACATAAGCGCGACTTCCTGTACCAAAGATTCTCAATGCCAAGTGTCGAAGAGAATCTGTGCCGAATGCGTTAAAGGAAAGGCACCAGCATGTACAATGCCTTTGTGTGTCAACGGATATTGTGCACAAATTGAGCCGTGTTCTCTTCAATTAGGCGAAGAATGCACCCAACCTGGCTCGTGCAGAACGGACCGTTTGTGCAGAACGTGCATGACAAGCAAAGGACCATTTTGTGTTCAAACGATGTGTCTGAGTGGACACTGTGCTCACGTTGAACCGTGCACTATTACGCTAAATAAATCATGATTTAGTAGAATAAAAGATCTGGTCACAATTCATGATTTTTTTTCGGTCCGAAAAGAGGATAAAATAAAAGTACCTTGCAACTGAATAACTACTTTGATGTTGCTTCGTTAAGATCTATATTACTTTTCAGTGTTTATTTTATTGTGGTGTTTTTTTCTCGCTTACGAATTGCTAGTACCCGTTTGTATTTATCCACCCCTAGTACTTCTAGTAAAATCCTTCTGTTTTTTGACTTCTTTGAATGAGAAAATGGGTATACGAACTACTTGACCAAACTTCTATGCATGAAACTGCTTCATTAGTCAATCGACATTGAGATTGCGCAATGGCAACTAACATATACTTTTCTATGAAGTAATTCATGGTGCGTCTTCAACTCTTAATTGATACACAAACAGCATTTATCTGATCTCATTGTATTGTACATAAACGTTTTGATTGAGTTCTTTCACATGCATCTCCTCGTCCATGATTACAACAGTAGTAGACAATAATCCCAAAACACCAATACTGATTGGCTTCCGTGCCTCCTATAGCAAGAGCCGACCACTAGTTATTTTACTTCGTCAATGCGTGCAAACCTATTGTTGTGTTTCTATTTCTTAACTCTTGCATGCTGTATACACTGAGAGATCACTGGTTGTTAACTAACTACTCAATTAACTCATCTCTATAGTAACTCATACAAATAAAATTAGACAGAGTCAAGAAGGAAAAGCTGATTTCAAATTCTAGAAACTGAGATCAACATAAAACCTCTGAGAATCCCGACAAATCCCTAAAAATGTGTCCAAATCCCCAGAAATAGCTGTGAATCTCTCTGTTTTCATATCTGATCAGTAGAATGTAATTGATATGCCCTACTTTAAGAGATTCCCAAGAATCTCTAGAGATTCTCAGCGATTTCAAAGAGTCGTAAAGGTTCTATGAGTAGAAATTCAGTTTTTCTCTCGTTGTCAGAGTACACTAAAAATTGCATTTTGCTAATGGATACTTTCTCGAACGATCTCTTAGAAAGTCTTTCGCAAGAATGCAATGGAGGAACATCACAAAAAAAATGGTCGAACTATTTTTAAGGACTTTATTAGAAACAAGTCTTCGAAAAGGCAGCTAGAAACACTTTGAAATACTAAAATGAGAGGCAAAGTACTTTGAAAAACTAGTAATAGTAAAAAAAATCAACGTTCTTTCTCTTTGGTTCGAACAAAAGTATACGTGGCACTTCGAAAATTTTTCCATCAACTCTTTCGATAAATATTCAAAAGGTGACTCTCCTATAGTTTCACGAGGTACCATCTCTGAGCAACAATTTGAAAAAAAAAGAGTTGCACCGGAAATCTGCATTCCACTAGATCCATCCTACCATTCTCCTCCTTCCTTTCAATAACACCAATGCGTGGTACAGACATCGTTCTCCCTCCAAGAGCACGATGGTCACGCAATGGCATCACTGTGGCGGGTAACCATAGAGGAGGCAATGAATTGCATCAATTGTATCATCCATGTGGGTTCTATGTGGGTGAGGATCAAATGATCTACGTGGCTGACGAGTTGAACAACTGTATTGTGGTCTGATCAGCGGGTGCCGCTTGTGGCCAAGTGGTGGTATATGGAAACGGACAAAGGAACAGGTTGGATCAGTTGAATTAGCTAATAGACGTGATTGTCGATCGAACGAGGGATAGTCTCCTCATCTGCAATGCGAGGAAAACACGAGTGGTACGTTGGTCTCGTAGCGATGATACCTGTGGAGAAGTTCTTTTCTCCAACATTAATTGTTTGGGTGTGATGATGGACGATCGCGGATTTCTCTACATCTCTGACGTTGAGAAAGACGAGGTCTGACGCTAGTGAATAGGTAACCAGCAAGGAAGGATAGTGGTCTGACGAAAATGGCAGAGGTAGTGGCCTCCATCAACTTAACTTTCCAACTCACCTGTTCGTTGATCGAAATTACTCGGTATTCGTGTCGGACAGAGAGAATCATCAGGTGATGAAATGGATGGAAGGCGCTCAAGAAGGTGTGGTGGTGGCCGGTGGTCACAGTCAAGGCTAAAGTATGAAGCAATTGCCCAAGCCGGGAGGCGTAGTCGTCGGTAGTATTGGAACTGTCTATGTGACAGGCTTGGAGAATCATCGAATCATGCGTCGACCTCGAGAAACCACTCAGCAAAGTGTGGTAGTCGGTAGAAATGTCGTTGGAGACCTAGTAAATCAGTTGTATGATCTTGGTTTGTTCTTCAATCGACGTGGCCATCTTTACATTGTTGGTGGCGGCAACTATTATGCGCAAAAATTTGAATTGCTCACTAATTTATCTATGTACTGGAAAGATCAAATAGTATTATAGCCCCTCCGCTCTTTTCATCGTCTGCACGTGCGAGCACGAGCAGATATATACTGTCAACGGGTCATGATGACCAAATAGATGATGTATGACAAGGGCAGACTCACGGATTCTGAAGATCATGTAAACGCGAAGGGCAGTATGCTTCGCCATCATTATCGAGCAGAAATCTCTCTAAATGAAAATTGAAGACTATTCCACACAGTCACAAGAAAATAAAATAATTCTTCGTCGACAGAGAAGATCTTGACACAGAGAAAAAAGTGAGATGGGGTGTGGGTGTAGGTGGCTGGGTGTGGGGTGTGGGTGTGGGTGGCTGTGTGTGGGGTGTGGGTGTGACTTAAAAGAAAACAACACCCACACCCACACGCACATCCACACCCATCCACACGCACATCCACACCTACATCCAAACCCACACCCACCCCACACCCACACCCACACCCTAACAGTGGCAAAGAACCGAGAAATATTTTGAAAGAAAGTATGAGAATGGCTTTTCTGCACATGTACAATATTTGAATAGTACATTTGACAGAAAACATCATTCAAAGAATTTATATTCGCTGTACTAGAAGTAGATATGAATGAAATAAAAGAGAGTTTTTCTGTTGGTATGTGTTCTTGTCTGTGTTGATTGATGTGTCCGAATGTATACGGGTATATTCAAATTATCTCTCTAGTCTGACGACTACTTTGAGTAGAAGCTTCTTTCAAGTATGGTATTCCGATTACTGACCAGATCTAATATGATTTATTTTAAGCTAGGAGTTCAGCTAAGCTGCTTTTTTTTTCTAGCGGACGCTCTAGTAAACAATATTGTCGGCAGATGTGCTAGTATGCATATGGATTTTTAGTAGAATTTTCAAAGAGTATGGCGCGTCTTCGCAATAGTGTCGTGAATACGTTTTGCTTCATGACATCTCAGAAAATTGAATATAATCTCTTTTTTCGGATGCATGCGGGTATTGCTGCTGTAGTGTAGCTCTTTAGATTTCTATGGAGTATCAATGTGTAGGTATCAATTTGATTTGATTAATTTATGACAAAAATAATCATATGAACCCGCATACCAGTGTGCACAACGAGATTGATGCTAATATCAACGAACACACACTTACCCACCCTTTCGAAACGTTGGATACTAGTTTTGTTGAAGACTGTAAAGCAGTATATAACACCAAAAGAGCCGAATATTCAGTCGAGGGTCAAGCGAGTCACACGGACGAGTGTTACTTGTTGTTGATCAAGGTTAATAAAATGTTATATTCGACCTTGACTTTATTCTATATTACGTAGATAATATTGTCTTTTATGTAATATATATATTCTCCGTTTTTTTAATAAAAACTTGATTTTGTTGTATTAACCTGAATACGTGACATTTGGCGACGAGAGTGAGATAAAAAAAAAATTTTTTTTGTACAATATTACGATCCCTCTCAACAGCACTACTGTTGAACAACTTGCACGTTCAAACACATATCGTCTTCATGAATTCGATCCAACATATTATGATTGGAACGATTGGGAAATTCTGTTTGATACTTATATCGATGTCGAAGGTATTACCGATGATAACAAGAAACAAAATCTGCTTATTATAGCTCTGGATGTTCAACCTTTTAAAACACTTATTTCTGTTTGTAAACCGCAGAAACCTACCGAATGTTCTTATCAAGAAATAATGCAAAAACTTCGTACAAATTACGCACGTGTTACATTTTCATCAACCGAAAGAATTAAACTCTTTGCAATACATCAAGAATCATCACAAACTCTTACTGATTTTGAAAATTCTCTTCGAGATAAATCAGTAACATGTAAGTTTCCAAATGATTTTTATGAAGATGCTTTAATTACAGCATTCGTTGGTGGTTTAAAAAATGAACATGTTCGAAAACATTTGATGCAGCAAAATTTAGAAACATTTGAACAAACACTTAATACAGCACGAATATTTGAATCAGTTCTTATTCAAGGTGCTAATGTCAAAGATGATTCATCAGAAGAAACATCTGTTATGGCAATTGAAAAACATAATAAACAAAATAAGAACGTTCATCCCAAGTCGATTTGTTGAAGTTGTGGTTCTACTGATCATCCTCGATCAAAGTGTCGTTCTCGTCATGTAACCTGTCACAAGTGTAACAAAGAAGGTCATATTGCTAAAGTTTGTCGTTCACAAATAACTTCAAACAACTACAAGGTGAATACAATATTTTCTGTAACACATGAACAAGTTACAGGTGACCATCCAATACGAATTCTTATTCAAACTGATCGTTTACAAGTTCAATTCGAATTAGATACAGGTTCTCCTGTCACGGTTATTAATGGTCATACATGGAACAAGATGGGAAAACCAGATCTACAACCTGTTAAATCAACCTACAACAGTTTTTCAGGTCATTCTATTCGTTTGAAGGGAGAGAAGATGGTCAAGGTGAAATATAGTGGTCAAAGTACTCAATTACAACTTTTAGTTCGTGATGGACATCGGAATAATATTCTCGGTCGTAATTGGATTAACGCTCTACAGTTAAACAAAATACCACTAGGGAAGATAGGTATTAAAAGCCGTCATGTTAATGTCAATCATGAAATGAAAAAGTTAAAGAACATGATGATTTATTACAGCAACATCTTCAAAGATACTAGCTGGAATTTGAAACAACAGTTAAAAGATGTTCAAGATTTATTACGTTCGATCATCATCACTACATCGAACAAGGAACATTCTTTTAATCAAGACAAGGTTTACATTGATGATTTTCATGGTGCTTTAACTAAGGTCAAATCAACACCAGAAAATCTTATTTATCGAAATGATAATCAGATTCAAAGTTCTCAATGGTTAGATAATAAAGATGTTATTATTGATGATAATGTGAAGTCGCAACTAGAACATGAGACATGTTCAGCAATACCACAACATCATTCATCTGATCAGGACACACGAACATTTCAACGTTCTTCAGGACATAAAAAAAAGAAGTGATTACCACTTGATCAAAGAAATTTGAGTGGAGAAGTATGGTGTGGTGATGAGTTGTCTGTTTCTTGTTTTCGTTCTATCTGGGCAGAACGCCAAAAGCATACATATACACATATATATTGTTTTTCTTTCGTTCTGTGATCTTTTCTTGATCTCAACATATATTCGTTATTGTTGATCAAGGTCAATAAAACGTTATATTCGCCCTTGATTTTATTCTATATTACGTAGATAATATTGTCTTTTATGTAATATATATATTCTCCGTTTTTTTAATAAAAACTTGATTTTGTTGTATTAACCTGAATACGTGACACTTTACGATAGTGGAAATTTAATAGGGAAATAGAGTTACATGCCTATTCGCCTAAATACGCAACTGACTTTCTCCGGAATGTGATAAAAAAACTAGATGACAGCAAATAATGTATTAATCATCGACTGCAGCTATGGTGCAATAACACATCTCTTTCCTCGCGCCCTCATTTCTTCCTTTCTCTCTGTTAACTTTAAACGCACGTAACATTTTCATCTGAAGAATGGCAATGCAAGCATCAAGCAGCAGCAGCAGCAGTAAGGTAACGGATAACTGCCCCATCTGTCTCGCCCCGATGAGTGGGAGCTCTGCAGTGCTCACCACTGCATGCAATCATCGGTTTCACTTTAATTGTCTACAAAAAAAAATACAACGGTCGTTGAGCAAAGAGTGTCCGCTGTGTCGCGCTCCACTTGACTCGCTCATAAACGTATTGCAAGGTAATGCTGAACAATATCAATCACAACAGCAGCGGCCAACGTACGTGTCTAAAATTCGATCGAGATCGGCATATCAACCAATACAATCACAACAATACTATCAGTTCGAGCAGCAGCAGAGCGTGAGTTACACGACTATAATATTGCTATAACAGCCTGAAATACGAACGATCACGTGTATAGGAGATATAGGTAAACATGCCGAGCATACGATCGTTGGAGCTATGGTTTATATGCCAACCAGAAAAAGATTATTCAGAGATCTTTAGCATTTAAAAATTTGAAGGAAAACGGCTAACTCTATGAAAAATTTTGGATTAAAATCGGACTTTGTAGATTCTTATTTGCTAAGCAAAGGAATAATCCACAAAATCCGATTATAATCTGGATTTTGTTTCAAAAATAATCCGATTATATTTCAACATTTTCCAGTGGAAAACCGAGGATGATTTTGGATTTATTATTCAGAAAGTACTATTGAGTTATTATCTTCATAACGCGAGACCGATATCAGAAAAAAAAATTGCGAAAAATAAAACGATAAACGTGTTCGAATGAGAATAGTCTTAATAAAAAGATAGAAACCAAACATTTTTTAAATGATTGTCTGTTTTGTACTACTATTGAAAAAGAAAATCATTCTGTTTTATTGTTCACAAACAGTGTTCTTTTATGTTGTTTCAAGTGAGAGCAAGTGAATTCTTTCCTAGAAAATAGTTGGACAGTGCATGCTACCAATTGCAGCATGAAAGAAACGTGCTCTTGCTAGGAAGGCGTAAAGTCATATTCTACTTTTGTAACGGAAGACAATTTAACTACTTAGGTCATTCCAATAGTAGTGACACTGATACTTTATTAGCATATAGTAAGCTGAAGAGAATTTTCTTGTAATATGTAGTGGTACTAAAAATAACGCTCTATCTTTCTGTGATATTGATTCACTCTTAAACGGATGTCATGATAGAAAAACTTCGATGAAAAATATTTGTTATGATATGTGGCAATAACATAATATCATATTTCTCTTTGATGCACATTCACTTGTTGATATTCTTTCTGTTCTCTGCTCCCCCTTTCTTTCTTCGTTTTTTTCTCGTCGTCTCTGACCCCTAATCGTCTATTCGTATTAGAGTAAGTGAGATTAATAGCTTCAGAACGAAAAAGCAATACAAAAACAATTTCAACAAGTTTTTATTTCATCAAATGTTCGAAATAATCACCTTTGTTATCCACACACAATTGCATTCGTTAAATCCACTTATCGAAGGTTTTCTTGTATTCTTCTGTATTCAAAGAATTTATGAACTTGGTAAAAGCACGATGTAATGATTTGGGATCGTCTTGATCATCCAGGTTTCGTCTGATTAAGTCGAATAACCAAAAGTCGCATGGTCCCAAATCTGGAGAATTAGATGGATATGGCGTCACTGTAATACCGTCTGATTCAAGATAATCAAGCGCTTCTTGATGAAAATGGAGTGTTCCATTATCATGATAAAGTTTAATTGAACAAGGAGCGAAATTGAGTCCTTGGTTCTTAATTTCATTAATAATGGAGTATAAATAATTATTGATACTTTAATGTAGAAACGGAAATTCTCCTTATCCATGTAAATAGGCATGAATGATGTAAGACTTAATCTAACTTTAGCTCTTTCACTTTCTTAAAAACATTTGCGAACTGTACATGCACACCAAACAAACAGGAGACGTGTCTCTCTCTATATATATGAGTAGACAATTAGGTGTCAAAGACGACGAGAAAAAAAGGAAGAAAGAAAGGGGGAGCAGAGAACAGAAAGAATATCAACAAGTATATATGCATTAAAGAGAAATATGATAGTATGTTATCATCACATATCATAACAAATACTTTTTATCGAAGTTTTTCTATCATGACATCAGTTTAAGAGTGAATCAATATCACAGAAACATAGAGCGTTATTTTTAGTACCACTGCATATAACAAGAAAATTCTCTTCAGCTTACTATATGCTAATAAAGTATCAGTGTCACTACTTTTGGAATGACCTAAGTGTTTTCTGCTCGATAAGTGTGACTGGCTCAAGTATCTATTTCTGACACTTGACACCATAGGACATTTCTTAACAGGGATTTTTGATCATGCTGCCACTCTTGGATCCATGAGGCGGATCAGTTAATCCCGAATCTGTATCAGTAGTGGTTGTTGTTGATGGATGTGAAAATGAGTGCGCAACGGAAGCTAGTGGAACATTGAAGTGCCTATTTCTTTCAGCCACGTCCAAATTCTGTTTCATAATAATTCTGACGATAGTCGGCAGAGTGATTTTCAATTTATACGTGCTCACACTTTGCAATTGACAGCAAGTTCCTATGTTTTTCTCGAGAAAGCGCTGAAAGAAATAGAAACTATTTCAAAAACTTCAGATATTTGATCACCAACGATTTCGCTACCTATGATTCTGACTCCTCCTTCCATTTTTACTGAGTGAATGCAAAAATTAGACGCATCGAAGATAATCGAATGAGCAGCTTTGATGTGGTTCGGCGGCTGCACCCTGTAATGACCCATTTGACATTTTCAGGTCTGGTGACGAGCTAACTGTTATCGGTTGGTTGGGAGATAGGACTGCTTTTCTCTCGCATATAATCATCTATTCAGAGCAGATGCATGGAGTTCTTTCATATTCACTATCGTACGACTTGTCTATATAGTTTTTATGTGTTGTCCTTTAATATGGAAGTAAACAAAAACTATTGAAGAAACAACAAGAATCTCTATTAAATGTTGCTTTACTAATAGGAACGTTACTCCGTCGAGGATCTTGTCGACGAGGCAGTTGTTCAAGCTCTCTCTGCTCGCATCACTGCTACTCGTAAAACCGCTTTGAACGATACTCAGCACACACTTATTACCGCCACTACGACACTTGAATTCGGCGGTGTACCCTCTGGCCAAGAGGCTAATATCTACGGTTTGGTGACACTCAATGCTCCATCGCTTGCTACCATCACTGGAAACAATGAGCAGCAGCTAATGCGTATGCCTATCGATCTTGTATGTGTTGTTGACCAAAGTGGTTCGATGGCAGGCGAGAAAATGGAATTGTTGAAGCAAACACTTGCCTATATCATTGATCAATTGTCACCATTAGATCGAATGGCTGTTGTTTCGTTTGACGATGAAGCCTTTGATAGGTCACATGGGCTCAAGCTGATGACCCGAGAAAAGTGAGTTTTTCATTCTATCTCTATTCTGTCAATGAAAAGTAAAATGTTTGCAATTCAGTGCGATTTTCCACGCACATTCCAAAGTTTCGATTCGTTTGTCAAATTGAATTGTTTCATTTGAAGTGACAAAAAGAGAGTTATGAGCATTTAAAAAGTCGTAAGATCCAAACAAAAAGCTCCAAATAACTTTTCTTCCTGCTTCGTTTGGATTAAAAAGCGACGATTGCACAAAAATCATTCTGTAAAGAGAATAAACACTGTGTACAGGACTTCAGCGAAGTCAATGTTGTATTGACCTCGAACGAGACGATCTGCATGTCTTTGTTTATAGACAGAAAATACTCAAGAAGGCCATTAACGACGAACTCAATGATGCAGGTGGAACATTTATCGCAAGTGGTTTGACGATGGGAATTAATTTGTTGACTAAACGACGATCAAAGAATCCTCTTGGAGCTATGCTTCTGCTTACCGATGGTCAAGATAACAATCCACAAGACTACTCGAGCCTCATGGCAACCCTTCCGAAAGACATATCGTGTCACACATTTGGTTATGGTCCTGATCACACCGCAGCATTACTAGTGCAGATCGCCGAGCAGGGCAATGCCGGTACCTTCACCTACATCGTAAGTTTTTCCACTTTTTAAAAAATGAAAAGCGTTTCTGCCGCAGACAACGTAATGTTCTTCGGAGGAACAGCATATATGATTGTACTTAATATGTCATATCTAGGACGAGACTCACGCAATTGGTCCTGCCTTTGCGACTGCACTTGCTGGGTTGTTCACATGCGTGGCTCAGCAAATACGTGTCAAAATTGAATTTCAAGATGGCTACTCTGTTACTCATGCTCATTCAGTGTACAAGTACGAGCCCACGCAGCTGCCGTCTCGTTCGATCACATTCAAACTGAATGATCTCAATGCTGACGAAAAGCGCAATCTTGTTTTTCAAGTGTACGTACCCAAAGTGAAGTTGACAGGAGAGAACATCTCACCTCGTTCACGAGCAACAAACCAATCTCAAGTTGTGCGAAGTGAACAACACGTGATCGGTATGATAGAAAACACATTGAAAATCATGTTTCGAATAATCTTTTCGAAAAAGAATCGTATTCGTGCGAAACCTAAAGGAGCAACGCACCTTTTCAGATATTAAAATACTCTTGGAATTTAAAAATCAGAAAAATTCCACCTGCTGGAGATAGATTGTTGGTGGATATTATTTCTTCCTCTTCTATAGGGCATGTGACGATTCAGTACATCGATGCGAGCAATGGCAGTTCGATCACAACAAACAAGGTGCCATTCTATCTTGTTCGTCAGGCTCAAATTGACGCTTCATCACCCTTGCTTGAAGTCAACTATACAGTCGATCTGCAGCGTAATCGCATTGATACGAGTCGTGTTCTTCGTCAAGCTGTTGCTGAGCCTAATTTCGATAATGCACTCAAACTTCTTCAAGCTCAAGTAGCCAAGATTAAGGCGTCGAAATCGGCAACAGATAAATTCTGCTTACAACTCATCAAAGACTTGGAATATAAATATCCAAATCAACACGAGTTTCAATCTGTTTACGCCAATGCACACATGCAACATTCTACGGAGAGAGGCACGTACTCGTCAGCGACCACTACTAGTTCTGCTCAGTATCTCAGTCCTATGATGCATCAACAGCAAAGAATGTCGAGTCGATATCTACAGAAACCTTGATGTGTCAGACGTGAGCGAACAGCAATAGACACTATCAGCTTGGGTTTTACATATGTCTTAGCCGCTTTTTGTCTACACATGCTAATTGTTCAAATATTTTTTTCGCCACATCGTATTGTCTCATGCTTAAGTAGCGACAGGTCTTTTTTTTTTGTATACTCCAATAATCATATTTGCGTCACGTTCTTGGGAGTATTTGAAAATATCCAGAGCATTTTGATAGTGTTCCAAAGTCTTTGCAGTTCACTTGCTTCATGATAATAGTACGAGGCTCGATGATAACTACCTTTGCTCAAATATGCCAGTCCAATATCATAATAGATCGATGTTTTCATTGATAATCAATTGACTTCCAGTCTCAACTGGCATAATGTTCATTTTTTTGCTGCTCATCAATATGCTTCTTCGTAGAAAACTGAATGAAAATGGCGAAGCTTAAACTTATAACAGTGTGCAAACAGGAATACAGAGACAATGAAACTCATGCGTGGTTGATTGATAAATTCAAGCAACACTGTTCAGTGGGTTGAGTACTAGACTGGTGCGCTGAAGAGTTATCACATTCAGGGCAATTATGCTGAAGTACTCTGTTTCTATGAGAGATCGCGTCCCATTTACCAAAAGTATTGGTATCCGCATTAGAGTGGTATAGGCCTCTCTTACGACAATATTGATGTTATTCATCTGAATTTCAGTAATCTAGATCTTGCATCGGAGTATTTTGAACGAACAATAGCAATATATTCAATGTTTCTTCCATATTAACATTCTGATTTGACTCTGACATATCAGAACATAGGTGAAAATTATAGAAACTAGAAAGAAATTACTTTGATAAAACAATTTCCATGTTTGAAATGGTGTTTCTTTCATTTTCTACGATTTCTCTGAGGGTGTAGGTGTGAGTGTAGCTGAAGAGAAAACTAAAACTCACACCCGCACTTTTTTCTTCGTTCTAAAGTATTTGCCAAACGTTCTCTTCTCTATACATATTTCAGGTATTTTTTTCCTCTCGTCCAATTTTCCCCCAGGTATCATTGATTTTCCCTAGTTCGTCCAGAATATATAAAGCTGTCGTTTAGAAATGGCAGCGGTGATGGAATCATTGAAGTACTAGTTTATGGTTCTGACGAGGAGATGAATACAAACGAAACTGTTAATAATGGAAACAAGAAAAGAGTGAAAAGAGACAACGAACTAAGTTAAAAGAAATAATGTTTAATGATCTTAAAACGGCTGAAGAAGCATACAAAAGAAAATGAATGGTATGTACTCTTGATCAATATTAATAAATAATTTCAATATTTTTTGATATGTTACATTACTATCAGATAAATTAAAATGGTTAGATGATGTGTGCAATCATTCAGCATTTTTCAAAAAAAACTTATCTGTAAACATGTCGTCGATATGGCAATTATATAAAACTGCTGCTATCGCCAACTTTTGTTAAAACCATCATATGTTTGTTTGGCTACTTCATATCTCCAAATGCGTTCAACTTTATAAAATGTTCGGATAATATCTACAGAAATAATAGAGAAAATGATCTGCTTTTACTCATTTCTTTGGAATTTCTCGTGGACAATACGCAATAATCCATGTTTTCTTTCGATACCCTCCATGAAGACTTTCTCTAGATAATATAATTAATATTTTATATTTCGAAAAATTTCGAAAAAGTACTTTTATCCCAACTGTGAGTATTAATGACAAACGGTTGTCATTAATAAAAAGAGTTTTGTTTGTTTTTACTAGCAATAGACATTGACAGCAAAAAAATTTTTCTAGTTGCGAAACAAGGTTTCCGACTGTTTCATTATCCTCAATATTAGTCGATTATTTGATCAAAATCTTGCCGAGAAATATTTGCCTTTTTGAACCTAAATATTTCTGATATATCGCAAACTTTCGCTATCAAATGATTTCGGAAACGTGATGATTGAAACCACATTTTCGTTATCAAGCTGGTCTCAATCATTGTATTTACAAAATTCACGACCAAATAATAGTTTAAGCTTCCACTCAGAAAAAGTCAATTTTTATCAGGAAAGTCGAAACTGAGTTAAACCGACGTCTGGGCTTTCATCTTCAAGCTGATTTGTTATTTGACAAGTCTTTTTTTTTTGTTATTAAGAATATGGATCATCTCTATCATATTATCCTTTAAAAAAGCTATCGTTTTTTAGAAAAACAGGTTTTGAGATGTTTGGTTGGAAAATAAGCATTTTAATGGAACCTATAGGCATTCTAGATAAGTTTCGCCAAGCAAAATATATAAACAATGGTCTAAGTGGAGAAGACCAACAAAATGCGTCAGTATATCCAATTGAATAATTACGTTTTTTGTGTGAAAGAGCATGCTTTTCTGCAGAACTTGACAGAACTCGATGGCTCTTTGAGGCCCTGCACCCAAATGTCCTCTGCCAAACAAAAAAAGAAATATATCCGAAAAACCTGATGATATTGAGCTGCAAATTTTACCATAGCCTTTCCACTATAGACTCAACAAGTCCGGAAATTTTCATGGAATTTGAATGTACTTTGTCCAAAAACTGATTTTGGAGTGGATGCGGCTGTGGTTGTGTGCGTAGGCTTCAAAATTCTTCTAATCCACGTTCACACCCACACCTTAAGCTTTCGTTCTGTAATGATAAACCTTGCTGAATCAGAAATCAATAGTTTATTGTGAATACAGCTGTTATTAGAATGACAAATGTAATCTAGTGATCGTTGCTTTTTATATATTTTATTTTGAATACTCGAACACCATTTTGATGAAAATTACTACAATCAGTATAGAAGATTTCGAATCCCAATTTATCTTTTAAGTTTTGGCAATATTTATCTTGTCTATCGATAATTATTGTCAGAGCCGCTTCAATCAACATAGATGTTAATAGAGTGTTTTGTTTTAATTTTTGTATTGAATTTTTTATTTGAGCAGCAATATATTGAGATTCCATAGCAAGACGAGCAATTTGTGCCATTAGACCATTTTTTGATAATTCATTGTATAAACATTTATAGACTTCGTTTAGAATTGCTGGTGTAACCAAATATTCGGTTGCTTTCAGAGGTAAACGAGTAAACTCTGATACATCGAATTGAAGGGTGCCTCGTTGAGCATTAAACTGAGCCATTTCAAGTAGAAATCGTCGAGAAAAATCAATGTCACTTTCATCAGGACAAGGATGAACAGGTTGAATAGTCAATTTTGGTTCGCTAGAATATACAAAAAAAAGGAGCATTCTGATATGATGAATCACATCAATATAGTAATGTGCGGATCAGTTTGCAAAACTTTTGTTCCGTGAAAGCAGTCATGTTGGAAGAAAAATCGAATTTCCAATTTAGGAGATAGCTCAGTTGTTCGTACACGTAATCGAACATGTCTTGCATAATTCATATTTTTGCAGTTTTTGAATGTGTAAAAAATTTTTAGACTTTTCAAAAAGGCTCTTATTTTTTTTCGGACCACAAATCGGAGCATGTACTAAAAAGTATCATTAGTTTGTGCATTTTCATATGAATGTTTTTTTGTTGTTGTTGTTGATTCGACTTCAACCTACGCTACCAGTACTTTTTATTCAATATAGTCCAAATATTTACCGTAAATCTCGAATGTTATCATCAATTATTCGAGTAAAATTGATGATTTCTTCAACGTGGGGCCATGATGAAATCATTTGTCGTGCTTGTAGCATATATTTCAAAGCATTTTTCATGTAATTCATCTTCTTATAGATGAAACCTTAATAGAAAAAAAAATCTTGTCGCGTTTTTAACATATGAAAATAAGAATCAAGTACCCATTCCAAGTTCTTTTCTATTTTAATTAAGACTATTTTACTTACCCATCCGAAAGTAGTACTCAATTATTTGAAAATTTTCCCTCACGGATAATGATGCTCGATCAGCAGAAGATATTGCAGAATGAATTAAAATACAAGTCAATGTGCTACACAAAGCCTTGGAAAAATGTTCTCGACGAAGACAAGAATTTGTATAGATTTCAAGTATTTTTTGAAATATATAATGTGTTGGATGTAAGTACTGTAAAAGCATATCAACAGCATTATTACATGCTAATTCAGCTTCTTCAAATCTTTCATGCTTCAATAAAATTTGAGCATTTTTATATAAAGCATAAGCTGTAAGAAAATAATGAGATGGAATTCTTCGAATGAAATCACGTTGACTAAGAGGTATAGTTGATATCACTTTTTCTATGAATTCATGTTCAGTGGTTGCGATTATAGCTGATTTTGTGTTCGAAATAGTAGTAACATTTGATTTATTGTAGCAACAACCCATAATGGACTTATTAAAGAAAAAAAAGAATCTGCAAAATGAAGGAAATAACAATTATTCTTCGTTTAACGCTATTATGTATATGACAAATTAGTTGAGAATCTTTTAATAGCAAACATAGAATCGACACGGGAGTGTAAAAAGTGGTAAATAAGTTTTACATTCAATTCCGAACCAACAAATAGTTCTAGAAAATAAAATGGACGAGATTCTGGTATAGACTCTTGAGTTGTGGAAAATTGCAGTTCACCAAAGAACACTCATGTATGTGACTGTACTACATGTATAATGGTCAAATTCTCAAAGCGGTGGCAACGACTGAAAATTTTGTAGTAGGAATATGGAATTAAGGACCATGTCTTGGATGCGCAACAGCTCTGACACATATCTACTCTTCAAAAACAAGCCCTAATGTCGTTGCCAAACCAGAACTCCTAGAGTATTGGTTCTCATAAGCATAATAAAGCGAATAGATTGGAGCACAAATACTAGAAAACACCTCTCTTTTTAGTACTTCGACAGACTGTGTCGAGGCCCAGAATTTCTAACAACAGTGACCAAGACTCGAGTGACAACTGTGAAAGAATCGATGGAAATCGACAATCTTTTTGCTCTTTTAGTGGTCCAGAACCTGACATGACGAAAAAAAGTCTTCAATACTACTAAATACAAGCTCAATTATATTAGATATTCTTACTCATTATTTGAGCAGTATAGATTCTCACTTTTCATGATCACTGGTGTTTTGATGCGGTGAGTTCTCTAGATCTCATTAGTCTTGTTTCTTTACTATCAAAATAATACGACAACATGAATGAAAGGGAGACATTGAATAAAGCTATATATGTGTGTAGACGATTTAATTTCTATATTATCAATCTCTGAAACCTATGTCAAACATACATACACCTGCATAGTGATTAACAGTTAAAGAAGACAAATATGCGGAGATTTACTAGCTTATACAGGCTCTGTAATCATAGATCTGAAATATATCACAAATATGTAACTTGATAGCAATGCCAAGTTATTGAGTTTATCATTACGTTCAAGGTACTTTGTTTTTAGAGTTGACTCCAGGAAATCATATATCTCATCACCTTCCACTACTGATTTTGCAGTAAGTGGGTGACTGTATGAGTACAAAGAACATCCTCATTCACTCTCTTTTTCTCAACAATTATTTTCGTCACTAATGGATACTGATACACTTGGATCAAGGAAGTTAATTAGTGATCTATCAATAATAGAGAAAGTATTGATCAATTAGACGATTATATAGACTGAATCACACTTCTGATACTGTGGAAGCTGTCAATAACCAATGAATATTTTCCCCTCGACTGAAGAGAGGGTCATACAAGATAAAATGCCATTACTTGAGGGTGTGAGTGTGGGTGTCTAGTCACGTATCCGCATGTATTGATGTAAGTTATACAGTTTGGTCGAAGGTAATCGGGCTCGGGAAATCCGAATCTGCAATTAATTTCTTGGAATTTTGAGTTTGGGAAAGGCTTTCTGGCGAAGAAATTTTTTTTCCTCAACGAAAGAAGGATCATATGATGTAAAATAAGTTTGTAGGCTTGTGGTGGCTTGTAGCCTTAGTACTTTCAATATTATATGGAGAATCCTGCCATTGACAATTCAATATTTTGTAAAAGGAACAAAAATGTTATTTGTCTAGATTTCAGATAACATTGGATGATCTTTTCAGGACGCAGATTTTTGCACGGGAGCAACTAGTCACTGATCTCCAAGGTTTATTGTAGATTTGCTTCAAGAAAGGTCTATATAAACTCTAGTACATTTTAGGAGAGCAGTCCACTAAGATTTCGTTAATAAAGAATCACGGTATAGCGGAGATTTTCTACAAACACCGAAAAATTCGTGACATAAGGAATAGTTTACAACAAAATCTTTTGTTTGGAATTTTCCATGGACAGTGCTTGTGATATAAATCCAACAATTTCTCACAAGAAATGAAAAGTGAAGTGGCTAGCGAGTTTTTCTCATCAAGTGAGTAATTTCATTGGAAATCTTTCAGAAGCAAAGCGATATTTATAGAAGATAATCATAAAATCAATACGATCAAATTAAATCATGTCAATATTTGGTACTGTTTTCATCTTGATTTCAATGTCGTACTATTTTTCATGTGTGAAAATAAGATATACTTCTCAAATCAATCGATGATATTTAGATCTCTACCAGAAGATCTACAATTGCAGTAACGGTTATATAACAAAAAAAACTGAAGACTAGCATTAAGACGAGGTTTATCAGAGTTATTGTAAAGAGGAAGCATGATCATTTTTGGTTATTTTACTTCTAATTTCTTTTCAGTAAATCAACAACATGTTTCACTACATGTTTTGTCAATTCATCTTCCGTGAATGACACTTCGATCAATGTTTGCATCGAAAAGGGTATGGATGTTGGTTGATGTGAGTACACATTTCATCTACATTCACACTCAGCCTTGATTGCGTAGGAGAATATTTCATATTTCGATTCTTTCTTTATAGAAGGGTAAAGATTTGAATCTGGGTTTTGAATGTAGGTGTGGGTACGAATGTAGATCTCCTCTTCATACACAACCTCATATTGTCACTCTTACAACCATATCTACCAAGCATCCATATCACACTTGGTATTGCATAGAATGCTCAACAAATTTACTTTACTTTTTCCTTCACCTTCAGTGAAATTCTACAATTTACCAGATGATGAAGAAAAAAGAATAGTTATCAAGACCTACTGACAAGATGATCTATCTTTTACAATGCAGACGCTTCTTTTTTCGGTGTGAAACTTTTTCTTTCTTTTAATTTAAAGAAAAATATCTCCACAATAAATAGAAAATAATCTATGCTTGATAAAATACTCATTAGAATGTTGCATGGAAATATAAAAATAAGAGAATTAGTCTCAATTTGATCTCAATAACTAATTCAATTAAGTTTCAATCCTATATGAACACATTTCATCCATGACAAATAATATACTTTTTTTTCTATCGTCCGTCAAATGATTTTTTGCTTTGAATAATTAAATTACTGTTTCTATTCCACACAAGAGTCATTTCAATATGAACTGAAATAACTCATTCGATCAATGAAGTTTCTTCTTTTTTTTGTTAGTAGAACAAACTATTATAACATTGTGAAAGAAAGAATAATGCCTCTTTTAATAAAGAAAATTATTCTTTATATTGTTGGATAGTTCTCTTCTATCTAACAAAGAGAATCTCATCTTGTCTTCGCAATGCAACAACATATTGAAAAGGTTTTTTCCATGTTACATGTTCATATACACACATATTAGTGAATAATTAGTGAGTATTATCCCATCCATGTGTTTCACAACATAGAATTTCTCTATATCCATGTTTGTGTCTGTTACGACTGGGGAATTTTCTTTCTATCAAAAATCTTTATTTACCAACCAACAAATTAAAAAAAATCAATTACAATATCTTCTTTACGATTTCTAAATCTATTCTATACTGTTACAAATGAAAGTGCTTTTGAGTAATCATCCAA